CCTCATGGGAATGTACAAAATCACATTATTTCTTTATTTTTAGTCCATTTGACATCTACAAAGATATAAGCACCTTCATCTTTTGGGTTTTATAACGGAGAGCTTTAGCTACATTTTTCACTACATTTTCTTAAATTGCCTTTTTTGTAGTTCATTTTCAGACGACTATGGTCCATATTTTGACAAGAATGATTCTGAAATCGGCACAACATAACGCAGCTTTCCTACCATGGATAGTATAATTTTAGTATTTCTTTTAATATTTCTACTAGAAACAGCAGTTTGTTTTAATCTTTTTCATTTTTAAGGAGCTTTTATTGTGTAGTGACAAAAAAAGATTAACTCAGTCCTCCAGCTTACTGCGCAGCCGCAAGATAATATGGCTGGGTAGATGTAGGAGATTATAATCAGGTAACTTTTTTTTTCTCACTTAAACCACAACCACAATTAAACACTCACAATCACAAATGTTCAGTATTTAAATGCATCAACATACTGTTTTATTGTGGTAAAGGTTGTCTGACTTTGCTGTCAGTGAAAGCTGTCTACTGTTGTGGTAAATCAGCCAGGGCAGCATAACGGTTACTAGAAGAGGGAAAAGGTACAGGGCATGAAGCAATTCTGCGATGAACAATGCCATCACTTCGACCAAGATTAGGATGGGCCTTTTCTGAGGTAGTCAAAGTCTGTCGCTCTAAAGTACTTCTCTGTTCTTGTGATTTTTTAGCCCCTCGGCGAGGACTCCAATTGATATAATTTTTAAGAGCAGACATGTCTGCCCGTCTTGCTTTAAGGTTTGGTCCATCTAGACTGTGTTTGCCCTCAGTGTTGATGTCAGAAGATTGGTTGGGACATCCTGTAAAATTCTGGTGGCCATCACCCACATGAAGGGTTCCCTCCTGGGATCTGCAGATGTTCCCATCTCCCCTACTGCTCTCTGAACTGAAATTAGTGTCTTCTTTCTTCCGACTCCTATTTTTCCTTCTTCCTGTGTTTTCAGACTTTTTTTTCAGAAGAGCAGAGTCTTCGCAGGCAACAGTTTCTAGATCAACTGATGATTTTCTTTGGTTTTGACTTGTTCCCCATCCTGTTCAAAAACAAACAAACAATAGTTAAAACTAATTTCTAGTGAAGTTTTAGCAGGACAACAATTACATTTTTGATAACCTTATTCACATTAGCCTTGACTTAGAAATAATTATGATGATGTTGAGATCTACTTTCTCTTCCTTTTGTGTTTTCTTTGACCCTTAGACACTTTAAGTCTGTTTCAAGACACCAAATTCAAATTCTAACCACATTTTGACAAGTTTCAATGATTCATACATTTGCATCTGCAAAAAACAGGCTCTAAAACAGAGATGCTTGGTTTTCATTTTTTTGTCAATGTTCCATTTTTGACAAAGCAATTATAATTACTTATAAAAGTTAAATAGATGCAGTTTATCAAATAATGTGTCATTTATAATGTGGCGAAAACCACAACATTGCAACATCTTGCAAAAATCAATGAAACTCTTTGCCCAATAATCTATCATTTTCATAATCATGAACATAAAATCCTGCTGTATGCTCATGATGTTTTGATTTTTTTTTGGGCTCCCCTGCAAATTCCATCCCAATATTATATCAACTAATTCAGAATAATAGCTCTTTTTCTGGGTAAAAATAATTTTTTCTAAAAGTTAAGCCATGCCTTTTTGTTGCTAACTAATGTTAGACCCATATATATCACAGCCGTAGGCTGCTCAGTGGCGCAGTGGGTAGCACTGCTGCCCTGCAGCAAGAAGGAAGCATGCTCAGGAAGAAGGTTCTCCCTGAGCATGCGTGTGTTCTCTCTGGGTACTCTGGCTTCCTCCCAGAGTCCAAAAACATGGTATGTCCTGACGGTCACACACACACTCACTTTCACTCACACACCTAAGGTGTGGACTGGCGACCTGTCCAGGGTGTACCCCACCTCTTGCCCATTGACAGCTGGAGATAGGCACCAGCACCCCTCATGACCCCAATTGGGACAAGTGTGTAAAATCTTGTTCTCTGAATTTATTATATATATCTCTCTGGCAGGGTAGGTACATTAATGAAAGATTTTGTGATTTTAACGAATATGGGAAACAATTGGCATAAAGTCAGGAAACTGGAAGGGTACAGTAATTGCTTCTGTCTGTTGACTCCCATTCATGAGAACCCTGACTTTCAGCCTGGACTGCAAGGCAACCTTGCTGACTGGAAGTATAAGGGCATTGGGGTTGTTGGGGACATGGGAGGCTCAATTCTCACATTTCAACAAGCGAAAAGCAAATATGGGATCACAGATGAAGACTTTATCAAATTTCTGCAAGTTCATAATCTTATTTTGTGTAATTAGTAATATTTCACTGGTGGTCTTGTTATATCTTCCATAGAATCCCTATTGGTAAATAGTATACTACTTAAATCTTTTTTGAAGAAGGTGTATAAGACTTTCAGTAATCACAACAGAGACAACTCTCTTAAAGTAAAAAGAAAATGGGAATCTGACTAGGGTACACTAGAGTCTGAGAACTGGGATACCCTGTGAATCTGGTATAAATCAAGTATTCAAGTGTCATTTAACATGTGTGTGCAAGGACTTGCCTATTAGGACTAGTGGATGATATCCCTGTTGGCTTTCGCAACAGAGACCTTTTACACATTCTGCTGCACTGTTTCGGAAATGTATCTTTGCCTTGTGTACCTCTCTCAATCAGTGGAAATAAACTGTGACTGGTATCGTTTCATTTGAGGGTTTTTCTATGGCATTAAAGGAAAAACGCTTTGTGTTCCATGGATCTATTTCTTGACTACCTAAAAGCTGCCACGAGGTCAGGGCTTATGGACCTCACCTGTCAGCCACCTAGCTGTCTATTATGTTGACTCTTTAGTCAATCTTCTCATAAACCTAAATTTTAGTCTTATTGGATGGTATATGATTCTAGAAGGCCTTGCCTTCATGTTGGTAGATAACAAGCTTTTTTAGAGAAGACACAATTCCTTTACATTTTAAAGGGGAAGTAGATGCCATACAAGTCATATTTTATTGAGTCTTGCCCTGTAATTATGTTAAAAAAGAAATCCAACTTACCATTTTGTCTACATTTTCTCCAGATGAGAAATATTCCAAGCGAAAGCAAGACAACAGTAGGCAAGCTGACAGCCAAGCAAATGACTATAGAGTTGGATCTCTCATAGGAAGCTATAAAAGGAAATAAGTCTTCAGTTAATAAATCACATTGTAATGTCCTCATAAACAAGTAACATTTTGGGTGAAGGACTCCTCTATTTATCATATGATCATCTATCAGTTTAAATGACTTCAATTAACACCTAATTAGTTGTTGGCTCTAATGCTGCCACACCATCAAATAAGAGGAAATTATTCACATCTCTACATTAGAGCCCGCTGTCCCTTTTTGTAAACCTTGTCACTATTTTACCTACGCTTCAGTCTGTTCTTCAGGTGAACCATGTGCTATTTATGCTTCTACCACCTGCAGTTTTTCTATGGTGGTAATAGTGTTTCCCCTCTGCCTATTTCTCCTCAAATCTACAAACATCGCCTTTGCATTGTTCACATTAAAGATAAGAAGACTGATTCTGAAGAATTAAGCAAGCCTCCTAGCAGCTCTGTGCTACATCTTTAATACATTAGGCAACTCTAAAGGTACTTTATCATTTCTGTAGATCACACAACTCTTGATCTTGTACTACTCAGAAAAATGTAATTGTTAAATCAAATCCTGGGGACTTAAGTGTCAATTTTAAAGAGTCATTTTCACAATAGATGAACTTAACTTGTAATATTTTGGAACAAAACTCTTAATTCAACACTTTTTAACACTTTTCACACTGTTTTATATTGTGTAACTATTCATGGTGGTTAACTTCATTGTAGCCACAGCTGTCCTATAGTAACACTAATAGGAAGCTGGGCTTAAAGCCAGCAACCCTCGGTTGCAGAAACCTCTTCCTATGCCACTGTCACCCCATAGCTGTTTCTGCTATTGCTGTTGTTAACAGATGTGTTTTAGCTCTCTGGGCCCACAGAGGTACAGTAGTCAGATATTTAGCAGCGGCCAACAGGGCAAACAAGGAGCTTAAAGCTCTGGCCCAACAATAGCTCTCTACTCAGTAGCTTAGCATATTGCCTGGTAAAGCTAACAACATCACTCAACAAAGCTCCATGTGCTGCTTTCCCGCTCTTTAAGAAACAGAGATTGTGCCCGAACATCCAACCTAATCCCTTTATAAGGCACTATGTAGTGGTTACGCTATGAGTGTCGGAAAGTCTAGTGGATAAAAAAATTTGTGGACAAGACTAAGCTCAGTCTTAATAGTACATAGAATATCCTACTATATATATCCTACGATATTCAATTCAATTCAATTCAGTTTATTTATATAGCGCCAAATTCACAACACATGTCATCTCAAGGCACTTTACAGTTATAAACATATATATAAACCATACTAGTTTAAACTGCATCAAAGTGTTGCTACAAAACGTGGAGTTGAAGAGTAACGAAGAATAAATCATCTACAGATCAGACAGTGGGGAAAAGGAAAGTTTCGACCCAGGAACTGCAGCACACTTCAAATGCAGCCATCTTGGTGGTGTTGCGGGACCAGGAAGAAAGACTAACTAGAAAAGTTAACTTTGCTGTCAGAGAAACAGTCGAGGAAATGCTCGCTGGGCAGCACCATCCGTTCGTTGACCCTTTTCTTGGAGCTACTTCGTTACCAGGACAGGGAGAAAATTCTCAATGGAGCCATAGCTCTCTCTTCTGTGCCGACACACCAGGTGTCCAAGAATGGGAAGATGTTGACATCCAAGTTGCTGAACTTAATTTGCCATTACTGACTGATAATGACCCAGAATCCCATGAAACACCACTTACTCTTTTAGAATTTAAAGAGACATTGAGCTCAATGCAAAACTGGAAATCACCTGGCCTTAACAGGCTGCCTCCAGAGTTGTTTTTGGAACTTTGGGATATCATTGCGCTTCTGCTTTTAAATTCTCTTAACCATGCTTTGGATACTGGTTCATTGTATTGTGACCAAAATACATCTCATATATCGTTCATACTAATTAAAGATAAACCATCTTCAAATGCGGCAGTTACAGGCGGATATCACTTATTTCAACAAAACTGAAGCTCTTTGCTAGAGTGTTAGTCAGAAGACTGGAACCGTATGTAGGTAAATGAATCCATTGTGACCAAACCGTTTTTTTAAAGGGGAGACTTGCATCTGACAACATTCGACAACTTTTGGAAAATTTTGGATTTGGCAAAACAAGTATATCAATGATCACATCACTATATACCAACCCTTGTGCAGTAGTACAGACAAATAAGTCTCTGTCCAAGACATGCTGCCCACTATCCCCTCTCCTTTTTGCTTTGCCACTTCAACCATTAGCCCAAAAGATCACATTAAATGCGCACATCTCACCTATTATTGTACAAGGAACACAGCATAAAACTTTCACTTAACGCCGATGACGTAATACTTTTTTTTAATTTCTAAATCCCTACCTCAAATTCTCAAAGTCTTCACCTGGTTCAGCCTGTTTTCTGGCTTTAAAATTATTTGGAACAAATCCCTCCCCATCCCTCTAAATGCCCCTGCAAAACAACTTACTTTACCAACCATTCCACATATTCAATGGCATAACTCCTCATTTACATATCTAGGCATAATTGTAACCAATTTCTTTGCTATATCACATTTAAATTGCAATACACTTAAAACAGAGATTGCATTGGACACTCAGAGGTGCTCTAGCCTCAAGATGGCATTGCAAGAATTGGGATACTAAAAACGAATGTTCTTGAAAATTTAGGCCAATTGTAGGTATCTCTTTGAAAATTTGGTCCTCTGTCCAGAAACATAAGGGATGTGATGTAAAGCTTTGTGACCCCTCTCCTGTTTGGTATAACTAC